AAATTTGTAAGACAGTGGGTGAATAAGCTAGCTACAGACTGATTAGTTTAAGAAAAGGGATTTTTAAGTGATACATTTAGGGGAGTGGAGGAAATGGATAGAGTGGAATAAATGTTAAATTAGATTTTATGGGGAGCCCGCTTTGAAATGTTATTAAAGTAGGACTTATTGTATAGTTTTAAAGTGGAAGGTGGTTTTGAATTGTTGCAATAATGCATAGATATAAAACACTATTATGCTAAATTAGAGTTATTTTATAATAGTTATAGTATAATGTGTTTGTTTTTTTTTGTTTTTTTTTTCTCTTCTTCTTTTTTGAAATGTATGGATAAAGGGGGATTTATAATACTTTTAGTAAGTAAAGGTCAGTATTTTGAGGAGGGAGTAAGTAATCTGTTATGAATTAGGGTTTTTTTTTGTTACGAAGAAGTCACAGGGGGGGAAGGGTGGGGAGGGGGGGTTAGGGAGGGGGGGGAGGGGGGGGGAAAAGGGGGAAAAATTTGTATTTGAAAACCTTTTCAATAAAAAAAAAAAAACATTTACCAACACTGGCTTTTCAGCTCAACAGTTATTAATAACACTCACTTCTCACTCTATTTAAAATAACAGAGCAAAAGTCTTGTTTCTCCATTTATTTGCCCTCACATATAGGATCTATCCCATTTCCATTGCATGCAAAACTGTAAAACTTCTTTTTGCAGGAAGAATTTTCTATGCATGCATGCATCCTTAAAGCTCTAGGATAAAACTGGTATCCTGAGCTGTTTATCAAACCACTCTCCAATTGGACTGCCTGATGCCTAAATTTACTAGGGGTCTACACACAGTGGTCTACCCACAGCAGAGTCAGTCTCTGCTGTTTTTCAGGTTACTAGATTTTGATGGATATTACTTACTTGGACTATACTTTTCCAGAGGTTCCAAATCTGTTAGTTGGATGAAGTTGGAGAGAAAATAGAAAAACAGGGACAAAAAAAGTAGGTATTGTAGAGGGTAGCAGACAAAAAGGAACTTTTAAAACTGCAAACATGGCATGGGGCATTTTAGATATCAGTACAAAGTGGAACCCTAGATTTTAGCCACAAAGTTTCACTCCAACAATGCTACTGATTGGATCTTCTGCTTGGCCACTGACTATATGAAGCATATGATTCAAACCATTTCCTGTGGAGATTGCTCTTTTGGAGTATTGTGTTTAAAAAAAGGGAGGCAGAATGTGTAAAATCTTCAGTACAATTTTATTTTCCTTTGGTTTATAATTTTATTTAATTTGATGATGGGACACCATCAGTGAGCTGTTGGACAGCATTACTTGGTCTGCTGTGTGGATGCTTGGGTGGTTTAGGGATGGGGAATTTTTGGTGGGTGGGGGTGTATCTGGGGATTGTCATGTGTGTTGGACTTGGTCTATGGGTGTTATGTGAATTTCGTTGTATGGGTATACTGTGTATATACGTACAATGATAATAAACTTAATATATATTATTTCTTGCTTATTTTCAAACCTTCACTTTCTTCATTCTAAAATACTCTGTGAATGTCTACATTTGTTCTGATTATTAGACAGGATAATCACTACTCTCCCTTGAATCTTGTTGATATCCAAGTCCATCTAAAACAATCTACCTTTATTGCATCAAATAATTTGTTATTGTTATGTCTATGATTAAGAAAATATTATTTTAGAAACATTATAGATGTTGAATACCAGTCTGCAACCAGTTTTTTAATTATTGCTGTGCTAATTATGATATTCCTCCTCTCAAATTATCTATCTCTCACAGAATCAACCAGAAAGCAAAAGCTACTGTTACTGGGACAAGTGGCACAGTGAAACATGCCAATAAAGTGAGTTATTTTTTACAAAAGTTTTTTTGTAAAAAAAAAAGGAGATGCAGTATATGATGTGCAATTGCTATCTCCTGAGTAGTCATCTAAACAAACTGCAATTCTTTCCTAATTTTTCTTCACTTGAAAGGGTCATCACTAAAAATGATACCCCGTGAAAGACTAGAATGGCAATAGCAATAGCATTTAGACTTACATATCATTTCATAGTGCTTTACAGCCCTCCCTAAGCAGTTTACAGAGTCAACATATTGCCTCCAACAATCTGGGACCTCATTTTACCAATCTCAGAAGGATGGAAGGTTGAGTCAACCTTGAGCTGGTCAGGATCGAACTCATGGAAGTAGGCAGTTAGCCTGCAATACTGCATTCTAACCACTGTGCCACCACAGCTGATAGGAGGCATAGAGGTTAGAATGCAGTATTGCAGGCCAATTTGTATGGACATTTTGCTAAAAAGAAAAAAAAGAAATAATAATTTATGGATTTGGGGACTGGAAAGGGATGAAGAGTAAGATGGCATTTACTTAATAAGAAGGGTAGAAGTCAAATTTCTATGCTTTCCTTTTTGCTCTTCTTTTTTCCCTTATTTCCTACCTTTTTTCTTTTTCTTTTCTTTTCATTTTCTATACTTTTAGTGTATTTTAAAATTCTAATAAATGTATTTTTAAAAAGAAAAAAGAAAAAGTCATCACTGCCCTAATAGTTATTTTTGAATGTTACCCTTTTTCTTTCTAAGCATTGCCTTTTCATACTCAATATATTCCTTCAGTTCGATTCAGTCCAGTTCAAAATGGACTCAGCCTTCCATCCTTCTGAGGTGGGTAAAATGAGGACCCAGATTGTTGGGGACAATATGCTGACTCTGTAAACTGCTTGGAGAGGGCTGTACAGTTGAATGAAAAATTACCTTCTGCGTTAGTGCTCGGGAATTAAAACAGGTGAGGCTCTGCAATCCACTCTGCCATGCTAATCAGCTGCGAAGATAAAAATAAGTAAAGTGTAGGGGCAGGTGGGCAGGCCCAGCTGATCGTCTGAGAGAACTGGTTTGCTCCCAGCTGATCGTTGGAGCTACTGATTCATCCAAACCAGTCCAAACCAAACCCACCTCTGGTTATCCACCTCTGATCTAGCCATAATTGTCTGCATTGATTCTCCAGTATTTTAGATTACAATGCATTGATTTTGTATTCATGGAGATCAGCATGGACTCATTCTACCCATGAAAAGTAGATGCTCAGCCCTTATGCATAGGAATAACTGAGCGCACAAAAAAATAATGGTGAGGAGAAATACTGTGAATGGATGAACTCCTATATAGCTCCTGCCTATGAGTGATCTTCACATTGCCCTTTGTTCTGCTGTCTTGTAAGAAGTTCGGGGGCCTATTAATAATAAACATTGCTTCCTACGGAATAGGTTACTTTAAAAAATAGATAGCTGAACTATTGTAGTAGACATTGAAATAGATTAACAGCTCTTCCTTGGAAACACTGCATGGGCAAAGACTACTGTAATGAATGTGTTGCAGGTATCGGTGGGATTCTGAATAACTCTTCAGGTTCTCAGAAATTCTCTGTCTGCAGCTGGTGGTACATATATCAAAGCTCAGGGGATTGCTTCTTTGAAGAAGAAAAAAGCACTTGAAATTATTAACCAGTTTGGAAAAGATCTTATTTTGGCTTGACAAGATCTTAGATTTAGATAAATCTGACCTGACCTGGAATATATTGAACTAATTAGATTCTTGGAGTTGGGATAAGAAGACAAGTTTTTCTTTCTTTTTCTGACACAGAGAGGAAACTAAACTAGATTTTAACAGAGAGGGATTCTGTTACTGCTTTTTAACAAACATTTAATCAAAGTCTTGTTGAGAACCAAAACTGGTAAGCGCTATTTTTTAAAGCAGTATATGTAAGGGATTAAGACAAAGCCCATTTATTACCCAGTGTTAGCATTATAACCTTTTTGACACTAGCCAAAGCTATTGGCGAAGCCAATAGTGAGAAGCCATTAACCTTCTCACTAGCAAAAGAATCATATGAATTAATGACTGCAGCCCATTCAGTGTCAAGAAGGCATAGAGCAATTCTGTGCTGAAACGTCACTAAAACCTTTCCTTCTATTTTTTCCCTCTTTTGATCAGCTAACAAGACTCTCCCCTGAATAAGTAATCTGGATATTATACTGAATTACATGATGCATTCATTTGTGCAATCATTTCACATGGCACCAACACTACATTTCTTTCTTTTCTTTTTTTCCTTCTAAGATTAGGGAATCCATGCCTATCCAAATATATATAAAATTTAATGTGTTTAATAGGCTTTATCCCAAGGTAAGTCAGCATGTAGAACAAAATTTTCATTGAAAGCAATAATAAGAACCAAAGCAGACTAAATTAGAACAAAAACAGTGAAAAACAGAAAAACAATAGAGAAAACTAAAAGCACAGTAAGAAAACAAAATAGAAAAAAGAAAGATATAAGGAAAGATATGAAAATACAGAGAAGTAACTTCAGGTGTCCTTACAGTTGTTATAAGTACAGATATATTTTAACCTCTTTCTCCTAAAGTCACATAATGACTTTCTTCTTTCTGTCTTCCTGTCTATATTTCTATCCTGTTTAATCATCAGACCATAAATCACAAGTTCATTTAAAAAAAAAAAGATTACAGAAAAAGTCTATAAGGGGATTCCAAACCAATAAAAGTTGATGTTTTCCTTTGTTTAATAAAAGAAGTCAGTTTGTCCATCTCAGCTAATTTTGTCAATTTGACCAACTGTTCTTCCATGGCAAATATGTGTTTTATTGAGACATTTTATATTTAATTAATGTTCCTTGAAGACCTGCACTGGAGAATCCTTATAATTACTAAATATAGCTAGCTAATTATAATTAAATACCATTGGGGTATTTAGGAGAAAGCAAAGAACGAGTAATAAGTAGATTAGCTGATGTCAAAAGAAAAAAGAAATCCAGTGGAAATCCAGTGGACATCTTTAACACTGTGCTTTTGCTCTGGTTCTTCTTGCCTTAGTGAAGAATACTACATGAAGGGGAAATAAACAAGAAAGATAAAAGAGGTAAGAATGGTATCTTAATTTAGATACCTATGAACTTAATGAACTATGAGGAAATAACCGTAGGGCAAAATGCTATATGTTCATAATGATAATTTCAAGAGCAAATGTTGTTTCTACAGATCATCCCTGGGGGGGAAAATGTCATGGATGGAATCTGTGGATACACTTTTGGCTAACAAAGGTAAGATTATTCTATTCTATTCTATTCTATTCTATTCTATTCTATTCTATTCTATTCCATTCCATTCTATTCCATTCCATTTCATATCCCATCCCATCCCATCCCATCCCATCCCATTCATCATATATTTCATCATATTTTTATTTGTCCTCTCAAGAAATCCAAGGAGCTATATATACAGTATATATATTTCCAAACCTGATCTACACTGCTATTTTTCTCCTCCCTGATGTTAATAACCAGCAGACTCACATAGGCTTAATTAAGGCCACTTTGCAAACCAAAACTTTATAGAGTACATCATTGTCTTTTAATTATACAAAAACAAAATGTATGAGATACCACAAAAACACAGCCTTACAAAAATTATATACTAATAATTCCTGTCATAAAAATAAGTCCTAATAAAGGAACTCCAATACCTAATTCAAATTATACCTAGAGAAAAAGTCTTCAGTCCCAAAGGACGTGAATTAATTATTTTGCACACCACAGATGTCCCAAATTGCTGATGCAATATCTCCCAGTTGAAAACTGCTGAGCTGACTGATCAAAGAAAGAACAAATACTCTAAAGCAAAACAAATGACTCATTTCAGATCTCACTTAGATTCAATAAGGAAGTAGAAATCTCCTGAAATTCTCTGGATAGCCCTGCAGTAACTTCCCAAATTATATGTACAGGAAGTCTAGATCTAGAGCTATTGATTCTTCAGCACCTCATGGTACACTGATCACACAGGGATAGTAGGGTGTGTAAATAGACAGTGAAGGATTCTCGGTTTGAATTATTTGTATCAATATGTTACTCTGGGAAATTAACATAGAATTAAAAACAAAACAAAGTAAACAATAAACAAAACAACCACAACAACTTAATATAAAACAGCACAGAAGTCAAAACCACAATGTATTCAAGATCTTGAACTAATTTACCTTGTGTCCCCTCTTTATCCATCTATCACTCTGCCTGTTTTTTTGTTTAAAACTGTATTTTTCAACCTCAGTAACTTTAAGATACGTGGTCTTCAACTCCCAGAATTCCCCAGCCATTTCCCTCTGTCTTTCTGCCCAGGCACACTTGCAGACAACAAATGTTCTTGGACTTTCCTGCTGATAGGATGTATTGACTAGGTGGTATGTTTTGCCTATTCCTATACTGTATTTCCTCTAAACAAAATCTTGTTTCTGTTATAATTCTAAAAATCGATTTACTAATCATCGGTCAGATCAGATTCCCACTCTTGGGAATACTCACATAAACACCAGAACATTTTAGTTTCCAACCATGTGTAATTATTACCTATCAAAGGGGAAAAGACATGAGATCAAAACTGGCTTTCATGAACCATGTGCTACTGGGAGTAACTGTGAAACACACAATTATAACTTAGTCTGGCCTGAGTTATGAAAACCAGCTGGGTGACTGTACATCTCTTACTCCTTCTCATTCTGAGGAACAAGCAAGTATTGAACAACTTTGGAAAATGTTGCCATGCAAACTTATGGACTTGTCCATATAGCCACCAGGAGTCAAGGCTAGTTCAAAGACCCTAACTATTTTATTTAACAAAAACTTTGGAACTTTGATCAAAAGAAGTGTGTGTGAGTGTGTGTGTGTGTGTGTGCATGCGTGCGTGCGCATGTGAGACAGAGAGGGAGAGGGAGAGAGAAAGAGAGAGGATGAATATGTTCAAAATCCCTTTGAAAAATGGTCTGTCTGCAGCAGGCAGGCTATGGCCCTTCCAATGGTGCTGAGCTAAAGCACTCAACATCCCTCATACTTGGGCAGATTGATAGAATTTAGAATAATTTGTGTATCAGTGAATGAAAGGTTTTTTTTATTTTTTTTTATTTTTTTCTCCAATTTTTATTTATAAGTATAAACTAAACAGAACAATGAAACGTACAAAACATAAAAACATATAAACATCCATTTCAATACATGTCCAGTTTGTTGCAACTATAATATAATTTACATTGTAGAATGAAAAAGTTTTGGTGGTTACCTGGCCTTTGGCTTAATGTACTAATCTTTGTAGAATACTCATGATAGTTGAGTTTGAGGCCCTTGGTCCAAATGGTAAAATTCACCCTCCAGAATGGCCAGTAAAAAGGCCACTAACTCTTAGTAATCACTCACCAGAATGAATGGACACAAGTTAAGACTTGAATCCAAGTTAAGTGTCATATTCTGGCATGACTGGCTCATATCCATAAAAGGTAATCATTGGTTCTCTTCCAATAAAAGCCAATTAAATTATTCTTATACTCTTCAGTGTATTTAATTATTTTCACGCCAAGAAGTTGCTTACGTGTCCCCATTCTTTTTCTGGTTTTTCAGATGGCCTGGATGCATTTAGAACTTTCCTGAAATCAGAATTCAGTGAAGAAAATATTGAATTTTGGCTCGCTTGTGAGGACTTCAAGAAAACAAAGTCAGCAGCTAAAGTTGCTTCAAAAGCCCAAAGGATTTACTCTGAATTTATCCAAGCTGATGCACCACAGGAGGTAACCCAGTTATAGATGCTTTAAAACGCTGTTTTCTACTTAACAAAAGAAAAAGAATTAATATCTTTATCAGTTTGGATATATACATTTGATTTTTATGCATGATTATGATCATGTTGCTCATCTCATACCCCAAATGGTGAGATGATCAAAGAAGCCATGTATTGTGGCTGTCCACATGTATTGATGGATGATTTCTCTTAATTCAACCTAAAAATAAGAACAATGATTATGAGCATTAGAGTGAATTCTTTTTGGATGAATGACTGTTCTGGTTTATAAGAGCTACCAGAAGCTGTTCACCAAATGGGTCAGCAAAGTGGAAGTATCTTCCAACTCTTCTAGAGGAAGCATAGATAAGGCTTTTCTGTGAAAAGACTGACTTGGATATGTCCCTTAGATAATTATTTATTGTTTTTTAATCTCCCTTTTGAGAAAGGCCCTGGAGCAGATGGTTAAATTAGTATTCCAGACTCTCTTTGATAAAAAGAGGTTTCCAACCCGGATTCAAGTCTGATTTGAGGATGGAAGTATGGATGGTTGCCTAGTAGTAACTGGACTTCTGTGGCATTAACTTTGAGGATCTACTACGATATAGGATTTGGGGATGATAACATACATGCATGCAGATTAAAAACTTTGGAACCTCTTACAGTATGAATTTTGGCCCACAATCTTCAGCACGATTAACTGAAATTAGATGTTACTGAGGAAAAAAAATAGCTGAAATGTCAAAAAACTCATTGCACAGAGCAGAATATTGGTTGTGTTCCATACAACTGGAATTCAGACATTGTTCCCAGAGAATACAGAAAGCAAATTATCACTGAAAACAATCCAATAAACCCATTTTACACTGAGTTAGAGTATTGTTCTTTTTAGCCCAGTATTGTCTAATCGGATAATACACCATCAACTATCCTGCATCTGTTTTTGATGACAATGTTCAGAATCCCCAGGGTCCAGGGGAAAAGGCCTTCACATCCCTCTTCATATGATATATTATATTAAAATTGGTCAGGGATTGTGATAATTATAATTCAAACATTTGGTAGATGCCAAGTTGATGAATCAGACTATGTAGTAAGTGCCACACTGTAACATTTTCCAATAGTCCCAAGGGAAAAATGCATTGGCAGGCCTTTGCAGCAGAAGACAATGAGAAAATTAAAATATTCAAAAGCAGAACATTCACAAGTAACAAGGGCAGAGGCAAGCAAACCATGCTTATCATTTTGGAATAGAACAATAAAAGGAAATACACTTCAGTTCAGTTAACAGCCTAAAAAACAATATTATTACTAGTTTTAGATGTATAGTATATATTGCATAAATCAAAGTTATTTATATCTTGTGTCACTAGTATAAATTATTCTGTTCCAAAAAGCATTCATTAAAGCATTTTATAGTTCTTCCTACCTTTCTTGGCTTTGATTTCTAGTTTAGTGGTCAGTTTGTCTCTGATTATTTTACTGACGAATGCAAGGGAATAAAATATCTAAACAGGCAAAACCAGTTTCATTTGATTTTCTGTTTAAAAACATGCTGTTCAGCCTGGTTTCCCATTTTTATACATGACTGTCTGTTGACAGTTGGGTGCAATACAACCAATTATCTCACAACAATAGTAAGCTGATTCAATCAAATGGTCTCGTTTCTGCTTCTCTTTTGAACTTTCACATTTGATTTGGAAACAAAATACTAAAATCTTCAGATTCACACTAAGAATTTTAATGTTCATAAAAGTTCAGTGATTTAATAGGTAGAGTGACAAAGAGAAGGCTGCAACTGTCAGATCAAGCTTTAATTGGAGTAAGAATGAAGGCTTTCTAAAAAAGAGAGAGAGAGAGAAAGAATTTATGGTTCTGTTGAATACAGGAAAATGTAATTTCTATAGCTTTTTATATTAGAAGATTGGGATTATTATATACCTTAAATGTATACACACTGAAATTCAATAATCAAATATTAACCAGGTGAGAAAAAGAATGACATAAATACATACATATTGAGCATGAAAATTCTGGAGTCATCTTATTTGCCAGAAAACCTGTTGCTGTTTTTGGTGTTATTATTATTATAAATGGCTTTGGAGAATAGAAAACTAAATTAGAATTAGTATTCAATATTTTAGTAACAAAAGCCTGACCTTCCTGCTGCTTTGCATCAAAGAGTGTATTTTGGGATACAATTCAAATTTTATTTGCTTTTGGCTCCCAGGCAACATTTCATATATCCAGTAGAATAAACAATTGTATTTCCTGCAGATAAACATTGACTTCAATACCAGAGACCGCATCATGGAGGCTATTTCGAAACCAACTCTCAACTGTTTTGATGATGCTCAAAAATTAATCTACAGCCTCATGGTCAAAGATTCATTCCCACGGTTTCTGAAGTCAGAAGCTTATAAAGAACTGGCAAATAAGGAACTGAAAAGAAGTCAAAAAAGGTGGCTGCCATTTTTCTAAAGGTCAAGTTCAAAAGCAGTTTGGAATCTCTTAGCATCTCTATACTGATGGCTAGCAGGGTAGGTGACTCACTAATACAATCATTTGCAAAATTGAAATTGCAGGTTTTAAAACATGGAATTTGGTTTTATTTATTTTTTAATTTAAATACCTAGTAATTAAGTTATTTTCACATTGTGTCTATTCTCTTAGTTTTCCATTATAGGGAGTATGGATTTTTTTTAAAAAAATGATGTCTTACTGAAAGCTTCATGTAACAGAACTCAAATGTGAGGCTGTTGCATTTTGCTTTCAGCTAAGATGAAAGAAAATCATAATAAGTGATGTCATCCTCCAATTTCTTGTCTTATCTACTTAATTGTAAATATGTAATAGAGAGCCAGATTAGTGTAATGGTTAAGGAACCAAGCAATCCACTTCTGAAAACTTCAGGGATTTATCCAGGAGTTAATACTGACATGAAGACACAATATCTATTTCCATATCTAGACTGTGACCATAGCAGATGGGAGGTAAAAATCTGATCTGTGGTGTGAGTCTCTTACGGGTTTTTTCAGGGATGCTATTCAGCAGGTTCTGACAGGTTCTGGAGAACTGGTAGCAGAAATTTTGAGTAGTTCGGAGAACCAGCAAATACCACCTCTGGCTGGACCCAGACTGGGATGGGAATGGAGATTTTGCAATACCCTTCCCCTGCCACACCCACCAAGCCACATCCACAGAACCGGTAGTAAAAAAAATTGAATTCCACCGCTGGTTTTGTGTGTGGGGGGAGGGAAATGTCCTTCCCATGTTTACTTTTTTAAAGCCGCATAAATTACCTCTACCATTGTCAACCAATGGTGCCTTCTTCTGGAAAGTGCCTGTGAGGGAAAGGAAAGAAGGAGATTGGAGTGGAGAACACACAGAAGAAACTGAACCCCCTTACCTGTATATGGAGTGACCCTGTACTTATTACTCCCTAGTAGTTAACTACAAAAAGGGACACATCTGCACTTGGAGTGCAGGAACAGTCTTGCTATTTTCTCCTTGCCTCAGTCTCCTACTTATTATTTTTATTTTTTTATTTTTTTGCTTTGAGTGGAACATAGCTTTTCCTGGCTCATTCCAGTTCCCATATTGTTCTTGACTGTGATAGCAATTGTGCAATGGCAGAAATGCCCCCTTATTGGATTTTCCAAGGTTTTCCCTACTAAAGTCTGCTGCTGCCTCTGTGGCAGGTCTTGCTCAGTAACATGGTGGTTGTAACACTGGTATCACATGTCCACCATGTCCCTAAACAGCATTGTACTAAAGCAGGGGTGTCAAACTCCAGCTCCGTGGGCCACATCCGGCCCACGGGGTGCTTAGATCTGGGTGGGGCCACCCTGGAAATAGTGAAGGACCAGCATGTGGTGCCAGCAAAAATGGAACTTGTGAGGGCCGCGCGCGGTCCTTTTGAGCTCCATTTTCTCTGGCAGAGGGTTGCAGGAGGCTGCCCTGGCCAAAAATGGAGCTTGCGAGGGCTGCACGTGCCCCACCCGAGCTCTGTTCTTGCTGTCAGAGGGTTGCAGGAGGCCGTTGCAGCTGAAAACGGAGCTCAGGAGCCAGTTTTCACTGGCAGAGTGCTCTGGCCACCACAGGTGCCCCCTGACACAAGTGACATGATGGCCACACCCACTCTGGCCATGCCCACCCCAGCCCCCCAAGGTCAAAAACAACCCTGATACAGACCTCAATGAAATTGACTTTGACACTCCTGTCCTAAAGTATTACAAAGTCCAACCAGGTTTATTATTGGATAGGAGCATCTGAAGGGCAAAATGTTACAGTAACACCAGAAACTGGTAAAAGGAAGATATTTTCTTCCTATTTACCTCAACTTTAGCCCTATAAGGAATTGTTTCCTCTGTTTATAATTGTCTTGTGAGTGGCATTGGTTAGGTAGCCAAAATGACACTAGCTAAGTGCAAAAGATATTCTTTGAGGGACCATTTATGCCAGGTGTGTCAAACTGGCGGCCTGTGGGCTGGATGCATAATGCACAGGCCATGCCCACCCCGGCTCCGCAAAGGCAAAAATCATTGCAGTACGTCATGTGATGTCATGTGACATAATTGAGTTTGACAGCCGTGATTTATGCAATCTGAGAATACTATTAGGTGTCACATGGTATAATAACTTGATGTAAGCATTACCTTCTTTTATGAGGTTCAGTTAGTTCCATTTGCCTTCTCTTCTGAATGGGACTTTGTTATTAAGGTACATGTGTACCCTAGTGATCTCCAAAGACCAGAAAATTGGCATCTTGTTTTGTGGCTAGTTTCTGGCAGTAAAATATACAAGGTGTTCTCTAAGTCTTTGAGTAGATTAAGATACCTAAAAGAAGAAAAATCGCAATACAAAGCTTGCATTGTATTATATGCATGTGAATAAAATCAGGACAACAAGGTGTCATTCTTCTGTAACTCTTGGCTGCTGTAGAATAATGATATTTAATCTAGAATAGGGCTGTCAAACTTGAGGCCCGTGGGCCAGATGCCAGGGGTGGGTTCTAAATATTTTTACTACCGGTTCTGTGGGCGTGGCTTATTTTGTGGGCATGGTTTGATGGTCATGTGACAATTCTTTAGGATTTAGCAGAGGTATTGGTCTTCCAGGCTTTTAACTGCTTGCAGAGCTGTATCGGTCTACCCATTTCTTTTTGGAGGCACCGGTCTACTGATTTGTTTTTGGAGGCACCGGTCTACTCATTTGTTTTTGGAGGCACCAGTCTACCCATTTGTTTTTGGAGGCACTGGCCTACCAATTTGTTTTTGGCACAGGTCTACCACCACACTGCCTTTTAATACTGATCAGCTGTAGGGTGGCCCTTTGAAGCCCGCAGCAAGAGTTTAAACAGTTTTTTTTCCTTCTAGCCAATCAGCTGGGACTCGGGAGGCAGCGAATAGATTGGGGGTGGGGCCAAATAAAAGGTAAGAATAATGCGGGGGCGGGAGGGAGGGCCCAGCTCCTGAACAAAGAGAACCGGTTCGGTGATGTCATATAGTCACCGCTACCGGCTCGGCCGAACCGGGAGGAACCCACAACTGCTGGATGCGTCACGTGCTGGCCATGCCCATGCCCAGTTTAGCGAAGGGGGAAAAAGTCCCTATACCTCACACAACACCACCATGATGACATGAGTTTGACATCCCTGATCTAGAGACATATCAGTGGTGCATTAGAGAATGATATGCAAGCATATTGATTCAGGGTTGTTCATTCTTGAACTGGAAACACAATAAACAAGAATGCTTTCTAGGAGAGACTTTCCCAGTTGTTCAGAAGAAACCTTGACTAAAATAGAACTTTATATATTTCCAGTAAAGTTTTCATCTCAGGAAAGTCATTACAGTTGTGTCTGAGTTACAGAAAGATACTTCAACTTGCTCTCTATTAACCTTTCAGAGCAAGCTGGGGTCTTTTATTCCATGAAACCACTGAAGATGATAGTTTCAATACTTTACTGTCCTGTTGTGTCACTTGTAATTTTAATTTGATGTGATCTGTTCTTAATTGAAACTGTTGCTAGAATTGTATTAACATTATTAATTAATGTTACCTGCCTTGTGAGCATGTAAATAAAATGTTAGAATATGAGGAAAATGAATTAAAATTTAGATTTTTATTTCTGAATGCTTCATGTTTTTTATAAAAGATGTGCAAACTACTCCTCTCAAAAGAGCATTTAGCATCACAAAGGAAGAATTTGTGTATCAGTGTTTGCATGAAATACTTTTGGCTAGTAGGAAAACTAAATAAATTTTATGTAAGAGTTTAATCAAGCTACATAGAAATTATTCATATATATTGTTTGTTGGTGGAAGTGGCAAAACTAATCGTTTTAATTTTTTTTAAAAAGGACTTAATCCAATTTTATTTCCACTTGGAAAATGCTTCTGGACTTCATGCTTGAAACAGGAAAAAAAATGAAACTTTGATTTTAGGTTTTGATGATTAGAATGATTTTGTAATTGTAACAATAGTTAGCAGTCATTAAATATGTAAAACAAAAAGTTGAGGTGTACTTTGTATTCTACTTCAGTGAAAAATGTTAGCAGGCAGTCCTTTTTCCTCTCCTTTTTACCCAGCACTCATCTCCCCTATTTTACCTGGCACTCATCTCCCCTTCTCTATTCCCCCATGAACTTTGTTTTCATTTATATTTTCTATTATAATAAACTTTAATAATAATAGAAAATAAATTATTCTTTTATATTGAAATGCTTCCTCCATCATACCTGTTGCTACTGGGATTTAGACGTACATAGGGATTTTTTTAAGTGTCAAATAAAAAATACATTTAATTATATCTCAGCCACAGTCCTTAAACAGATGTTATGGAAATGTGTGAAGTATTGAGTTCATTTGCCCTTGAGATCAAACTTGTAAATAATACCAAATGTTTTTTAGTGGCTCAGTTGTCAACACTTATAGAAATGCTTCCCTGACTATAGCAGCACTTTGTTTTTCTCCCTTGGGTACAATTTTCAGCACATAAGTGTTTACATTTTTGCCAGCTGCTTTGGTGGTTTTTCGCAAGCCACCATGCTCCAAAGAATGTTGTCATTGCTCAGAAACTTGGGGGGTGGGTGGGTTGTCTCCAGTAGAAAAATTCAATATGCACTTAGAGTGCGCAGAGATGGACAAATTAACAAAAGAAATCAAGGAGAAAGAGGATACAGAATATTACAAAGTGTGGTGTAGGTGGTATGAATGGTTGGTGAATAGGAAAAATGAGAAAGAGGAATAAAGGAGAGAGGGGAGAAAAAATGTTGAAGATCAAAGTATAATCTAGACGAAAGAAAGAATGATGGAAAATAAATTGTTGAATAAGATAAAGTTAAAATATGTGTGAATAGATGTAAATAGTAAGAAAGGATCACTTCAAAGTAGCTGTAGGGAAAATGATATGTATATAAATGATGTGTGTTTGTGTCTTGTTTTTAATGTTTTCAAAATAAAAAACTTTTTTTTTA